AATCTTAACCCTTCGGTCAATTTAAACTTATCATATTAAGTGAGTAGGTGGAGTGCTGCATGGGGTAATATATTTGGTGTGGCTTTTGTCTTTTTGGTAGGAGTAGATGGACCACCCACTGCCAGTAGTATGTAGCATTGTGTTGCGTACCTAGCAAAACGACAGAAATACGGACAGAATAAGCATAAGAAAACACTAAAAAACAAAAAAACTTGATTCTCTTCAAATTACATTTTAAATTTAAATTGTATGAATAAAAAAATAAAAAAATAATTTTATAAAATTTGTTAAAATTTTTTAAATATTTTTAAAAATATAAAATAAAATTAAAATTAAAAATATTTAAATAATTTTATAAAAATAATTTTCTCTTTCAATAAAAATAAAGAATAAGAAAAGGGCCAAGGAAAAAGAAAGGGGTATAGGGTACGTGTTGAAAAATAAAGGAATAAGAAAAAGGCCAAGGGAATAAAAAAAGATACAGGCTACGTGTTGAAGCAATAGGGAGCAGAGGACCCAGCTATATCTGCTGGTAAAAGTCATTATTCTATCTCAAGACTGACACTTTCTGAAGTCTTCCATTATCATCTACTCCCCTTCTCTTTCTTCTTCTGCAAAATCTAGGGTTTTGCCATTATTTTCTCCGTCGATCCTCTGTTGTAATCCAAGTTCATCATCCCATCCGGCCTCAACAACTCTCTTATCATGGAGGTAAAGTGAATTCTGGGAATTTCCTTTTTTTCCCTTTTTTATTTTTTGGCCTGTATTACTGTTCGTTTCGACAGACAAAGTTGAGGAAACTGCATTAGCTATGGGAAAAAAGAAATAGCTTTATGGATTCTTGGATTTCTCTTTTCTTTTGTAGTCAAAGGGGTTGTGGTGGGTTGTTAAAAAGATCAACTTTTTAATGTGTTAGGGCTCAATTTTTTTGTTGTCTTTGGGCAAAGTCAGCTAATTTTATGCATCTGATCAATGAGATTAATGTCTGAATTTAGGCCTAACTGTGTTGATGGACGGATTGATGTTGGCATGTCTTTATTGTAGCCACAGTTATTTATTATTGGGGTCTAAATCTAAATTGGTCCTGTTTTGCACCACTTTGCTGGGTTTGCAGGGGATTGAAGAGACCAATCAGTCCGACGGCCATTTGACCTCTGCTGCAGCTTTTGTGGAAGGTGGCATTCAGGAAGCCTGTGATGATGCTTGCAGCATATGTCTTGAAGTGTTCAGTGAAAGTGATCCTTCTTCGGTATATAAATGCTAGATTTCTATTCTTTATTTAAGAGATCTGTGAATTGCATCGCTTTGAAACTTTTTTTTGTCGTTCCCTTTTCAGGTGACCAGCTGCAAGCATGAATTTCATCTTCAATGCATTCTGGAATGGTAAATTTTATC